AAACTGAGATAACGCCTAATAATTTTTAAGGAAGATTGGGAAGGCTTACTCTACAAGCAGGTTCTGATGAAGAAGGAGCCAGAATTGGGAGCTGGAAGATCTCTGTCATAAAGGGACACCAACACATACTATCACGAAACAGCTATCGGATACAGTCGTGCCTAAGACTTGAGATCAACCACACTTAGATTAGACAAATTGAGATTATAGCAAAGTGGGAGAAATAAGTAGGAACAACGAGATCCTGGGATGCTCTAAATATTAAGAAAATAAGAAAATCAGGAACTAAATGAGTAAGCATGAAAAATAACTGCTAGGATCATCTCTGGGTCCAAAAACAAGGAGGAAAAAAAACGTTTTCCCTCACTTTTGACTTCTACATAATGTCCTTGCTTCCACAAATACAGCTTTGGCTGACATTGTTAGCTCAGTTACTTGGATTTTCGTAAGTACTTGATGGCCTGAGACTCTCATTTTAGCAGTTTCTCTAGATACGTGTTTTCGAGATCGAAATAATCATCTTACAAAGTGAACTTGGGAGGCTAAACCCATTTGTTAGTCAGGGACTGTGTATGTAATTAGAAAACACGTTCTGAGAAAATGAGTTCACAGAAGCTGGGGAGCTACAACGGTATCTAATTTTGAACAAACCATTAAGGCTATTTATGATATTCTTATTATTAAAATAAATTGCAAATAGTTTTTTTAGTATCACTAGTTATAACTTTTTAATTAAAAGATTTTAAAATGTAGTAATAACTTTTTAGAGGAAAACTGTTTTATAAAGCATGCTTACAAGCCAAGGGGAATTAAATATTAGATCATCTTATTTATAAACACAGGTTACAAGTAACCTACTAAGAAATAAAAATATAAAGTCACAGACAAAAATCAAATATCATATTTCTTTCCTACAAAATCCTTCAACTAAATCCATTGCTATTGTCACATAAGCCATAAAAACTGTGCAAAACAGAAGATATGTATTGGGTACAATCTGCAGTACCAGTTGGTCAAGATGTTTTTAACAATTAAGAATGAAAATTTAATTGTCCTCAAACCTAAAAGGTTATCCACTGCTTAAAATGTATGCCCTTAAAAATGCATGATTATTTGGCAAAGATCAAAAGGTAAAAATACATTTTAAAAATAAAAATAAAAACTTGTCTAGCCCATAGTGCCTTATAGCTAGCTTCAAGGAAAAAAAAATGTTAATAAAACTTCTAAGAAAAAAATAGTTTATATTTGACTTCTTTACCATTTTAGTATTTATACAGATATATTTTTAAGCCTCACAACAACCCTGTGAGGTAGGTAGGAAAGTATTATTTATACCTATTTTACAAATGCAAGACATAGAGTCAGAAAGATTAGTCATTTACAAAGTTCTGTGGTGAGAAAGAAAGAGCCACATCGAGGAATGAAATCCAGTTATTTGACTTCAAAACTGTGGCTCTTTCCCGGACACATTTAATAAAAAGACTAAAACAAAGCAAATCCAGAAGGGGAGTGCACATATATCCATATATATAAACATACACTTCCCCTTATAGAAATTAGGTTCCTGAAATAGGAATAAAAATAAAGCCTTACTTTCCCACTGAGTTAATTACAATTTGGAGGCTTATCTTTCATTAATGTGGATTAATCTCCAATACAGAAGAATTTTAGCTCTTGGTTACGCTTTCATTATTTGACAAACACCATTTTATAAACCAAAATTTAAAACAAGAACTATTTCTGCACTTTTTTTTCTTTTTGGAAAAGCAATCTCAAATAATTCTAATAAACATCTTTAATTCACATTACTTCTTAAGCTTTGAATTTATATGTGTTTCTTTTTTCTATAATAAGGATACACTTTTCATTCAGTTAAATCTCAACTGGTCAAACCTAAAGAACACAACTTTGACAGGATTTCAAAACTGTGAGTTCTAAAGTGCTAGGTAGTGCACTCGTTCTCAGTCTTCGTTTTATCCCAACACACCTAAGGGATGCAAAGCACTCCTGTTAGCAGCAATGATTCACTGCCAAAGGTGGTCCAAGGATGGGAAGACAATTTGGGGGACGGCACGTAAAGCAGTTTTAAGAAGCCCCGCCCCTCCGCTCCGTCACCCCCAGCCCTCACCACGAGCCCTTCTCTCCTACGAGAACCAATGAATCAAAGTTGAGACAATAATGCTAGAGCTTTTTCATTGATATTAGCTCAAAAACAGTGCTTTATAAAATTAATCAGTCCTGGCTTGTCCACAGGTGTCCCTGAGGAGAACCACTTCAGCCAAAAGCCTAAACCAAAGTAAGTTACTTATCATCTGAAGCATATCTTTACTATGTATCTGGTTTTGTTCTACTGACTCTGAAACTTGCACTATAAGAAATTCTTATTATAAAATAGTTATTCATGGACTAAAAGGGAAAAAACTCATTTGCCCCAATAAAAAAGAATGTATACAAAAGGTCATTCACAGAGTCAAAATACTGCTCAAAGAAAATTCATTTTTTGAAATTTCTAATCAAAATAATACTCCAAGTAAACTAACCTCTTACCACTACAAAGTATTGATTCATTCTGTAAACACCTGGCTATATTATGTGAAGGCCTGACCCCTTCTCCTAAGGGATCTGACTAGCAAATTAAAAATAAAAATCTTGCAAATTAAGGTTCTCTTCTGATGTTTCCCATCTTAAAGAATAATTTCTGTTTTATCATCTGACTCCAAATTAAGCCAGACTGTGTAATAAACTGAAATTTTAAAAAATTAAAAGTATATACATATGTATGTGAATAGCTATTAAAATTTAGAATCACAGCCTAGCCCAGGCAATCAGGGATCTCAAAGATCTGGGTGCTTTTGCAACCTGCAAACCCACCACAACAGGAAACTGCTTATACTCTTTTACTCTCAAGAAAAACATCCGACAATATGCCCCCTTCCAGTTTTACCACCCTTATCGGTAAAGAATTTCTGAGATACCAAGTGATCAAAACCAAATCTGTAATATGGACTATTTTGAAACCACTTCCTCTAGTAGGCATATTCCTCTTATAAAAATCTTCACTTCTCAAAATACTCCATTTGATAATAATTAGTACTTCCCGTAAACTTCCACCATCTATGCTAATCACATTGCCCTTACCAGACAGCGTATACTTTCTGTCCTTTGATCATTCTTATGCTTCTCTGTAATTCACTTCTCTTTAAAATCCAGTGACCAAAACTGGACGTGCTACTCAAAAGGAAGTAAGCTATTGAAAAGACTAGAGGAAGAACTATATCCATGACCCTGGATGCCATACTCACTTAAAAATATTTTAGCATCATGTTGACTTTTTTACTGACTCATATTCAGCTTGTGGTCACCCATGATTGTGGCTTTCTTCCCTCTTTATTTATAACTAGACTGTCCTTCTCCATCCTATATTTAAATGGTTGGATTCTCTCCCTCCACCCACTTAATCCACTAAATTTCATAGTTGTCATAGATCCATTTCCCCATTTACCACAATACTTTATAGAAATGTTTAAATCTGCAATTTACAATGACTACCATTTATGCCTTAAAAATATCAAGACTATGAACACAATATTGTGAATCAACTATAACTCAATAAAAAAAAAAGCAAGACTATTGAAGTACATATATAACATAACATACATTGTAATTTACAAGTAATAGTAAACTAAGGACAAGATCAGACTACATTGCCTACCGGAAACCTACCTCCACTGGACGGTCACTCTTTACCAGTGCTATACGTGCCCTTTGCAAGGAACCATCCATCAGCTTGTGAAGTCTCAAAATTAACTTTCTCAACCCCATCTGCTTCAGTGCTTTGTCTACAAACGGTCTATAAATAGAAGTCAGACAATGTCTACCAAAGCCTCCTTCTGTGCTGCAGTCTGGTGCCCCCCAGCCCAGAGAATCGTCCTCAGATTCAAGCCTCTCGAGCTTCTTAGTTATGCAGTCCTGTGACTGGCTGTTGAAACTGTTGTCAACAGGCTGCCTGGTTTCTGGTCCCCCTGGGTCAGAGCTGTGTTCTTCTTCACTCTCATCTGGACTACTTTCCAACTCTTTCAGTTCTCTTTCTGTGTCATCGCCCTCATCTTCTGGCTCGTTGCCTTTGGATGATCGCGGGGAAGGGATTTCAAACACTGGCCAGCCAATGTCTGATAAATTCTTGATGCCCAGAACAGTACCCATAATCCTTAGTTTCTGATTTAAGTCTTTTGTGATGTTTAACCACAAACAGAGTGCCTGCACCCTGTCCTGGAAGTCTTTTGCAGCATATTTTTCGTAGTCCTTTTGAAGAGCCTGCAATGATGGATAAAGTGCTTCTATGTACTCCAGCAGCTCCATTATCCGTTTTACCTGCTCAAATGACACCCGTTGGCGCTGGAGATGCTCATGGTATGTTGAGTAACCCACAACCTTTGTTCCATGAGAGGCTCTGCACTGCCCTTCTACTGAAGTACCATTAAAACTGGCTGCATTTCTAACAAAGGCAAAGCTCCCATAATTAACTTTGAAAGTAAGGATTTCATTGATAATGTCTGGGATGTCTTGGCGGGCTGTATATAAAAAGAGGTCCTGGTCGTTAATGGTCCGTCCCGCATGCCAGGCTTGTAGCTCTAACCAGATCAGTTCGTTAGATCGGTTAAACCAGAAAGCAGATGTATTTTCCTGTCCTCTTTGCTCCCTGTCCTTCTTCTTTGAGACTGAGGTAAGCTTAAGCAGAAGCCGCAGAGTTTCAAAAAATTTTAAGCGATCTGCTGGACAGTCTGTCCTAGAAGTCTGCCGGGCAGTCCTGGCTATGGGCATGGGCACAGACACTGGAAGCTTAGCGTTGCTGCAGCCCAGACTGAGGTAAGGCTTATTGAGATCCACGTCTGGAATTGACTTCTTGGGCAAAGACCCAGCCACCGAGTCCAGCATGAAGGAGCACTGCACGTTCTTCTTATGGTCGCGCTCTGTCGTCCTGAGAGCCGCTCGGATCTTCTTCTCCTGCTTGTAGCTGTATTCTTCCACATTCTCCACAGTTTTTCCAGTGTCTTTATGTGGAGGCTGGTTTGTTGCATTCATTTTCTCTATTAAAAAAATAAACAGAACATTATGTTACTCTAAAATATGAAGCTATTCTCAATACTTTCAGTTAAGACTGATATTCACATGGACTTGTATTGTCAGGCTATTATTAAAGAAAATAATCATATCATATGCTGAAAATTAAAGGAATACACACACAAAAATATCTCTCTAAATTTTTTAAAAGATTTTACCCATTTTACCTGTTACATAATACTTGCTATATTCTCCACTACTAACCTGAAACCAGCTGTTTACCTCTCTACGACAAAGTGCAGATATCCAGGTAGTCAAATCATCACAAGTTATCACCTTACTCTTAAGAAGGGAGAAATAGTATGGCACATCTGACAGAAACCTGATTTAGAAAACACATCTGATTTCTGCCTTTGCCATGAACTAAATGTATCAACTCAGAGCAAATCACTTAAGTTTTCTCAGTCACTTTTCTCATTTATAAAATCAAGTAGATTGAGGAAAGAATCCTTAAGGCACCATAAGATTATTCTCAGAAAACACTGAAACAGATGATAAGCAAAAATATTCACCTTAACTTATTCTATTCCTTAATTTCTTCTTTGCCACAAACAAATGAACAAAAACATGTTAAATTTAACATTAAGAAAACTGAAGACATATACACCAATTTAGTATAGCTTGCTAGTCTATCATACTGGCACATAAAAATCATTCAAAATTAATACGAAGAAAGTAAACATGACATTTTTTCCTTCAAACAACCATAAAAAGTTCTGTTAACTTAATTCCCAAGCTTTGAAATAAACACACACACCTGCCTCCCTGGCTGGCATTTCCGACACTGCTCACAGCCCCTACCTTCCTGACACCCCTGCATCCTCTGCTGTTCTAGACACAGCATTCTCGGGGTTCTCGTCCACTTCCTAAGTCGCTGCCTTTTCAAATTCCCCCCCAGGAACTTTGCTCAATCCATAAAAAGTTAATGTTTCTCAAGTTCTACCCTTAGATCTCTTCAGTCTCACTTTCGTCTCCCTGGGTGACCGTCTTCACCACCACTTCCTACACTGATAACGCCCAAACTACAGCACCATTCCAACCTCCCTTCTGCACTCAAGGCAGAGTGAATACTTCGTTCAGTGAATCTAGGACTCACGCTTAGATTCTAACACCTCTGAAATTAGAATATGTTTTCTAATCAATGGTTGTTTGATAAACCACTTTTAGGAAAATATTCACCAACATATTTCATCTACATTTTCCTTTATATATATGCGCAAGAGTGATAAATGGTTTTTAAAAATCTGTATTTAAATATCAAGAAGTGTAAGAGTTCCTTAAATAAATAAAAAGTAAAAATTCTAAGAACACACTGTGTCATCAATTGTAAGCATTTTTTCTTAGTATGTATTATATATGCCTGTAGATTTAATGAAACAGGGTATATTTATATGCTTACAGACTAATATACCCAAAATCAATTTACCAAAGAAAATTTAAATCAATTCACCTCCAAATCAATGGAAATTGATACATCACTAAAACAACATAATTTAAGCTTAAAATATACTTAAGCTCCACTCTTGCTACCGTATTAAAATATATATACACCAATCTATCAATAATATATTTGTGATGAAGAAAGGAAAACCTAAGAGTATTTTCTAACAATTGGTGACTAGATAGCCTCTATAAAATCGTAAGGGACCTGTCAGTTAAGGGAGATCTGAAATGCAAGAAGGTGCTGGAAGAAGATACACAGTAATTTTCCCAAGTCCTTTATACTCACTCTGACATGAGTAATAACCCTTTAATAATACTCAAAATCCCATTACTAATAGACAGGTTTGTTTGTTTAGCTTTCTATTAGTACTGAATCCCTTTGCAATTAACAAAAAGTCAAATACAGAGTTTCTGGAAAGGAGAATGGATCAAAAGTATATAGAATGTTTTATACAAACTTTAATTACGGTACTACAAAACTAGTTCATAATAACGTAAGACTAATGGAACATCTGAGCTCCCAAGTGTATCAATTAAATGGTGTGAGTTCGTAGCACTGTTAAAGCAAACCTCCTAAGCAGTTATTTTTTCCTTGGTCCAATCACCAATAATTCCTGCCAAATTAGAAAAACATGAAAGGAAAAGAAACAAAAATGTATACTGAAACAGAACCAAATGCAAACAAGTTCACTTGTTTAAATAAATGTAAGAAAATCAGCTGAATTCCCCACAATTCACACCTAGAAATGGCTCTTTAGAAAATGTATAAAATGTATTTTTATCAAGTCCTTGCAATTCTTATGTTCTTCCATTGCCAAATTCAGAACACCTGCCTTCCTCGATCTCTCAAATGAGAAAGTAGAAACAAGTGTCTGCTCTTTCCTTTAAATGTGAGATGATTTTTAGAGCAATGATGTACTGGACTATCAAAGAAAGTCAGCAATGTGAAGGGACTTAGAGATCTTCTAATTCAAGGTTCTCAAATTTCAGTAAACATTAAGAATCACTCAGGCAGCTACTCACCTGAGTCTGCCCATTTGCCTCTAAACAGCGTCCTATCACTTAATAAATCCTCACTTTAAAAAAAAAATCCTCACTTTACTTCTTTGAGGAGAAAAAAATATATCACTCAGGTTCTTGCTAAAATGCAGATTCCTGGACCCAGTCCCGGTGTCTCTGATTCAACCTGGCTAGAATGACACATTTTGGGAAACACTACTTTATTCAATCCCCTCATTTGCGAGGTAAGGGCTTTACAGAAAGTGTCATAAAGCTCACAAGAGCACTGTGATGAAGATTACGACAAAGCACAGACAGTCAGACAGATGGTAAACGGCAGGACAGGGATCTCAACTCGTGTTTGTGCCATCACACCACCTCTACATCTGTCAAAACTGCTCATGGGGCAGTTCTGACTGACCAAGGAAAGCTTAAGATACTGAGAGTCACAAAAGACAGATTCCGGTGGGCTAAGTAATCTGTAGATGCCGTTAATAAGACCAAGTCCTTGACTGGGGGCCTTCAAGAATGGATTCAGCTTAAATAAGGGTAGCAAGGAAGGCAAGAGAATATTTTAAGCCAGAGAATAAAAGTATGAAAAGACACAAAGACATACAAGAAGAGAGTCTGGCTGGAATAGTGAGTCTGCATGTATATGGGTAGCCTGGGAGTGTAAATCAGAACCCTGAAAGTCAGGCTGAGCTTGGACTAAAGCGCTGCAATACAGAGTCCACTCTGGGCCACAATGAATGTTTCTCTAACTACACAGATTGAATCTGACTTGTGAGTATTTCACCAGCTCAATTTTATAGCAGTTATACTTTTTCAAGGAAAAAAAAAACTTGCTAATCTCACTATTTTAGCAGAAAACAACACACATTTACTCACACACCCACACCTTGCAGTATTTGTCAATGACAGAGAGATTAATGTGTATATACGTACGAATTCCAGTGTAACTATTTCTATCAGCTGGCTACTGCAATATTACATTACTGCTGCAAAATAGAGCAGATAACAATTATAAAGGCAGATTCGCCCTAAAAAGTGCTTTGGTTTGGGTGTCTTGATCCTTATTTAACCTACTGAAACCATGAGATGAACTGGATTTACTTCCTTCTGCCACATTAGAAAAATTAAAACTTAAGGAGCAGATAGTTTGTCTCTTTCTTAAACCAGCCTTAAAAAGAAACAGCTACACATGGATAATTATTGTCCAAACTTACCAAAATTTTAATTGTTGTAATTTAGTAGTTATTTACCATTATCCAAAAATATGATCTTAAATAACCCCACAGCTAAATTCTGTTACTCATCAAAGTATGAAATCAAGCCTGATCAGGGAGCTTATTCAAGAGCTAAACTGGTAGATTACATCAGTGAGGATGTCACACAGCTGGTATTTTTTAGGTAATAAAAAGCTAACTCTCTTTACCTAGATATCATAACATCGCTATATATTTATCACAGCTTCTGAAAGCAGAAGTTAATATTTTGAAAGCAAAAATATCTTTAACATTCCCAGGGAAACAAATCAGGAAAATGGAAAACTCGAATGAAGTAGTTTTAAACACATCAAACTGGCAATTGTTTTAAAGTCCCTCAATACAAAGAAACACAACATTGTGGGCGATGGCGACCTCACCTTTGTCCTACATCCCTAGGCTCCTCTCCTCAGTCCTCTCCCAACCCGACAAACACCAACAATATCGATTTGAACTTTCCTGTCTTGCGCTTACTCATATTATGCACGGAGATCACAATGAATGACACAACAAGCCCTTCTGCAGAACTTCTTGAGTCTACCTGCAGGAAATTCTCTAAAGTCTACTCCCAAAAGTGTGTTTGCTTGGGTCAAGGATATAACTAATCTCAATTTGGCTGTGTTAACAAATCAGTTTCCCACAGGGATTGAGACAACTTACTCTCCCACCAACCTTGTAGGAAAGCTGCCATCTCCTCATGTCTTTGCTAGTATTCGACATTGCTCACTGGGGTGTAGTAAGTGATGGAAAGAAAACCACAGGCCCTAAATGGGGTCACCTGCATGCTGAAAGCCCATGATGGCAAGCCTAGATTTCATACATTACCTAACTGCAGTTCTAACCTCTCCCAGAGAAGTAATCTTAGTCGAACAATCTGGAATTTTGTGGTCAATACCAATAAAGTAATCTGTCAAGCAGGCCCTTTCTATGCCCCAGAGGAAGAGGTAATCTGCATGATGCAGTCCCTGCCATCCCCTACTTCATCCTCATAAAAAAGATGTCCTGGCCTAAAAACAGCCCTTCTTTCCTTTGGCTAACAGCTCCCTTCCCCACCTTTCTGCCTGTACAAAGCCCTACCGTTTCTGCACAGCCGCTCGGATCGCCCTGCTAGCTGCTAGCTGAGATGGTTCCTGATACATGAATAAAGCCCATTAAATCTTCAAATGTACTTGGCTGAATTTTGTTTTTTAACATAAGAAATATATTTGGGTTTTGTCCAGGTTCCTGGCACAGAGCTTCTAAAACCCTTGGAATTTCCT